ATTGTGTTTATGGTCATGAGACGAAATAGCTTACTGATTTTCAGCGTTTTCTGATAATTACTGCCCCTGATCACTTAAAAAAACTTGTGGACACTATAGAGTCTAAGTTAATATCCGATTGACTTAAAATTTATACGGAGCAGAACAGTAGGACTTTAACCCCATTTCATTTCATTTCATTTTCATTTTAAATTTATACACCGTTTTTAATGTCAGGAAGCGAAGAATCTATTGATTTCCAACAATTTCCGATAGTTACTGACAGTTATGGCCCTTGATCACTTTGAAAAATCTTGTGGATGCCCTAGAGTCTACAGTCAATATCCAATTGACTTTCAATTTATACACAGTGTTTAATGTCATGGGACGAAGAAGCCTGGATTTTCAACAATTTGCGATAATTACTGTTAGAGTTACAGCCCTTGACCTCTTTGAATATTCTTGTTCACACTCAACAGACCAAAATTATCATCCGATTACTTTATATTATACACAGTATTAATGGTCATGAAACAACAGAGTCTATTTGACTTGAACAGCTAAATTCATGATATTAAATGTTTTGTATACTAAATGTTAGCATGTGGCAGAACTAGTAGAAGCCAAACAAATTCTAATGATTCCTGATAATTACTCAATGTTATGTTATTCTTAATCAGTTTCTAGTATTCTGTAAATGTTTTCATTATGCTGTGGGCATTACACAATGTTATTATTCTTAATCAGTTTCTAGTATTCTGTTATTGTTTTCATTACCCCAAGAATATGTGACAACTGACAACCATTGTTGACTGACCAGAAAATTTAGCTGCTGTGCGCATGTTTTGTTACCTGGCAACCTATCTTTATGACTATGATCATAGGGGTTCATTCACTAAACTGTTGTAATATTCATTGAGAATATGTAACATTTAAAGATGCATTATGTAAGATTTAGAGAAAGAGCTGGCCGTTCTTGCTATAATAATAGTTTTAAAATGGATAATGAAAATGAATATATTGAAAAATTCAGTCAAATTACTTTAAGTTATGAATGTTTTAAGGTTTGACAAGAAATAGTATCAATAGTCTTAATTGTCAAGTCTACTTAATATCTTCGGAATCCGAATCTGATGGTCTTATGCCCTTAAAAAAACAATATATCATTAAGTATATATATATATAAAAAATATTTTTCATTTTTAATGGATTTGACCTGCTAAATACAACCTGACTGTTTATTTAGTAATGATAAATGTTGGAAACTATTATAGCTTGTTATATATATGAATAGTAAGGTGGCATAATTATTGATATATTTGAAGATTTTTTTATTACTATATAATAATAATACACACTTTTTAGCCCTTATTACCCTTTAATCATGTTGACCCCTCCAGTAATAAAACTTAGACAGGTTGTCAAGGTGGTTAAAGAAAAGGTTTTCAATGTGAACATTCTTTACAATGATATTTCTTTAGAAAATGAACTATCACAACAAATCTAATATGATGATAATATGAACCATTTTTATTCTAAGTAGAAAATATGCTATTTGGTTGGATAGCCCATGCTGGATATAAACTGTAACTATACGGCAAATCTGGTATCTGATCAAACAGTAAAATTCACTATCTGGTGCGTCCCTACCGAAGTCCTAAGATTCTGTAATCTTACTTTATAAATGTCTGATTAGTTCTACCTTAACCTTAATCTATACCTTAATCAAATACCTGACCTAAAATTTACAAGTATCCATTTATCTATAAAGATGGGTATATGTATACAGTGCTGAATAAACTTTATATACAATTGATGCTGTGGACTAAAATACAGTAGCATTGTTAACATGCTCATCTTTCAGTGGTGCATGTAGTAGGTACACATAACTTAGATTTTAAACCTAGTTTGATTACATACAAACTTATTTAGATAGTATGAGATGAAATGAAACACCATTTATAAAGTTTGTACATGCAGTAATTGCTTTTACATATATGGATGAATGACAGTATGCAAATACTGTCATACATATATGTAAAGATTAATATTTAACAAGGTAGGACTGTTTATGGATACCATCTATTTTAAGGCTTTATTTTAATACATTTTAAAAATATAACTTGAAAATTTGCAATTGCAACTTTAAGTTTACGTGCAATGCATGTTGATGTTGTTTTTATCTGTTTATGATATCTTAATCCCATACTGCACGCAGCGATCCATCTTGGCAGGCTAAACTTGGGATGCTTAATTGTATGCTAAACAAAGTACATACAAGCACTAACTGCTGATCTTACAGTTATACATGTACAATGTACATACAAGTTACAAGCACTAACTACTGATCATACAGTACACAGGCCCGGCAGAGTAGGGGGGTTAGGGGGGGGCTTTAGCCCCCTAATATTTTGGCCGCAAGTACCCTTTTCTCCAGGTTGTTGCACGCAAGTAACTATTCTATTAAAAACAAAAAAGGCTTGAATTTAACATAGAAGTGGGTAGAAGTGAGACTTCTAGAACGTAGACTTTCAGGAGAAGAAACCCCTGCTATGCTCTATACTGTTCCCAGGGTTAAGAGACCCGCGGTTGCGAGGGTCGCGAATAGATAACTGTACGGTCGATCTTTATTTCAAGTCCATCTCATGTCTGTTGTATCTATGACATATTAGGTAATTAGAAAAACGACGGGATAGAGTTTTATTTATACTCTTTCCTTGTGCCCCTTATCCATCAAATAATTCACTGCTATGGCCAGTTGAAACAAGCGGTTGCCATGCAAGGTGAGTTAGGGTAAGGGCTAGATCTTTGGTTAGGGTTTGCGCTAGCCTTGTTTACATTTTGTGACATTGGCGAAATTTGCAGGTGGCCTTAATATTTAGATCTAAACTGAATATTATATGCTTTTAGGGGAGCGGCCATTTTGTCGGGCAGTTTGGTCTCATTTTCAGGAAATGTGAACTCAAACGTAATTATGGTGTAACGGTGATATATTCGAATGCCTTTTAAATCCGATAAAAATTGTAACCTCTAGAGGGACCACAAGTTAAAAACGCGATTTTTCGTACAATTAGGGGCTATAATCCAGAAAGTTACAATCAGATATGCGCGAATATGCAAAAGGAACCAAACATACATTTCAAGTTTCATCAAAATTGGATGAAAATTGTGACCTCTAGAGTGTCCATAAGCTAAAAATGTCATTTTTCGTACAACCAGAGGTCATAATCCATGACGTTACGGTCCAATACATGCCAATTTCAAAAGAAACCAAGATCTTTGGGAGATAGACCTATATTTCAAGTCTCGCCAATTTCGGATAACAAAATTTGACCTGCTATAATTGAATGGTTTTTAACAATCAAATAAAAACTGTTACTTCTACTGGGTCCATGGTTCCTAAAATCAGGGGCCATAATCCACGAAGTGACGGTCCTATATACGCCAATATCGAAAGGAACGTAGATCTTTCGGTAATAAACGTACATTGTAAGTTTCATCATGCATTATGCATAGATTTGTCAAGTTCAGCATCACAGGATTAAACCACCATAGATTGTGTTTTTATGGTAAAGCCCTGTTTATACAGAGTGCGAACCTGAACGCGAACGCGACTTTTTAGCTGTTTCACCGTTCAAATAGGGTGATGGCTTTTCTTTTTCTAGCTGTGAGAGATAAATTTTGTCATTTGCTATCATGGCTCAGGTGGAATCAGACACAGACGAGATCTTGGCACTGTATTCGTACATAAAACAACGAAGGAAGAGAAAGAGGCGAATATCAGTGCATGAAATTTTACAGAGAAGAATCACATTCCTTTCGATTTCAATGATCATTTCTTCGGTCTTGTCCATTCTGCTTTTGGGAGGGGTTGGATGGCCGAATGCTTAGCACGTCTGAGCTGTATCATGAGGCCTGTCATTGAGTCAACTGGCGTAGTTTAGAATCCCCGGTTGTACGTGACAAGGAGTAGAGTTGCCTGTCCAACCTCGTGGGTTTTCTCCGGGTCCTCCGGTTTCCTCTCACTGCAAAAGACTCCTACACGCAAGCGAATTATTGAAGTAAAATTAAAACCATATATAAGTCCCGAAATGACCTAGTCTGTGTCGAGTGGACGTTAAACCCCATTTCTCTCTCTCTCCATTCTGCTCTTACAAGTAGACTGTGAATATTGCACACTAGTGGGAACGATCAAGCCTAGCGGTTTCTATTCGTGGAAATGATGTCATGGGAAGTGCTCGCTGATTTGTTCATTGGGAAAAAGTTCGCGCAAACTTCTGAAAATTCGCTCGGGAGGCAATCAAGGCGGTCGTTCGCACGAACCAATATTTGTTCGGGTTCGCGCTCTGTATGAACGGGGCCTCAAAAAATGACTAGAGCATTCCAGGACGAAAAGCCGCGTTCGCACTCTGGAAACCCCCCCCTTAAGGGAGTTAAAAATGAAATAAAATTCCACTTCATTGCTGAGCAATTTTTTTTAGCCAGAAATCGCTTAGGAAGAGTCTCTGACGATCTAGATCCCCAAGAGCTTCCGGGGCCTAGGGGGCCCCTGGACCCTCGCCTAAGGACCTAGGATGGAGCCCCCCCCAATCAAGAATTGCTTCCGTCGGCCCTGGTACATGAAGCAAATAAAAGACAAGAGTTAAAAAATTCTTCATTAAACTGCAAATTAGTAAATCAATCTTCTATAAAACTTTCTATAACCGGTTGACAATAATGTGTATGGCTCATTCTGAATTTCAGCGTTGAATTGGCAGGTTTTGAAACCAATCTAATTTGAACACACCTGATATATCACCAAATCCCTGCAAATCGACTCAATGTTTTTTAATAACCATCGTAGACCTTAATGAAAGTTAATGTTCTAGTTCGTTTTTAAATTATAATTATCTGTACTGTTTGTTTAGATCAGTAACATTCCTACCATTTGTCATTATGCCTCTGATGACAAAGCAGCTGGGTGTATGTTTAATTGTCTTGCAACCTATCTTTTACATTATTTTTAAATTTTGTTCTTTCAGATGCAGCATATATTATATCAGAATTATAAAGAAGATCAAGGCTCATTTAAGAAAACTCTCAAAAGTAAAGAAGTGGAAAATGCTGTGTCTCTTCATCCTGTAAAAGAACCATTATATCTTTTTCGTATTCAAAATTATTTTCAGTCCACAAAAATTGTGCATCTTCATCAGAAAGAACTACATCTTTATCGTGAGATTAATATGATGGAGGAGTTTATCGGTTATCGTCATCCTAATGCTTTACAAAATAAACTGGCGCTTATGCCTTCACTTAATAAATATAAACCACAAAATGATGATGAGGTTTTATCATGGGAATTTATAACTAAACCAATATTTTCTCATTTTCACAATAATCCAAAACGAGGATTGGAAGCCTCTTTATCTGGCGCTATAGATGATGTCATTAATCAAATTATGCAGTTAGTTAATAAAAATGCCCGACAACGTGGTAGAACTATAGACTTTAAAGAAATCTTATATGGTTACAGGAGAATAAACCCCTTATATGGAGCTGACTATATTCTTGATCTCCTTCTCATTTATAGGAAACATAAAGGAAGAAAAATGACCGTTCCGGTGAGACGTCATGCATACGTTCAGCAATCTTTCTTTCAGACCGAATTTGAGGAAGAAATTGCCACATTTAATCCAAAACCTAGCATGGGTGCTCATGTGCTCCATATTATACGACAATTTGCTGTTGGCGCAGAAACTAAACCTAATATAGACAAACGAACAGAAACTATTCATTTTGTTATGCCTTTATCTGGTAGGTTAAAAATATTTGAAAGATTTATGAAAAACTATGAGGAAATCTGTCTGTTAACGGGGGAAAATGCTCAATTACATGTTGTATTGTATAAAAGTGAGCGTGAAGAACAAGCACTAGAGGAAAGTATTAAATTATTACAAAAATATCAAAATAAATATGGTGGTAATAGTATAGAAATAATCCAAGCGAATGGTGTCTTCTCTCGCGGTAGAGGACTAGAATTAGGTGCTTCAAGGTGTTCAAAAGATGCACTGTTGTTTTTAGTTGATGTGGATATTGTGATGACAAGAAGCTCTTTGAATCGAATTCGACTCAACACTAAACAAAGATCTCAAGTTTATTTTCCGATCGTGTTCAGTCAATACGATCCTGTTACCGTCTGCCTTAATCACTCTCCTCATTGTTCTTGTCAACATGATGGATGCCACATTGATCCCCTTGACTTTAGTCAAGATACTGGCTACTGGAGACAATTTGGATTTGGTATTGCTGCCATGTACCGTAGTGATATGTTATCAGTTGGAGGTTTTGATCTGAGTATACAGGGGTGGGGTAAAGAGGACGTAGATTTATATCAAAAATATATTGAAAGTAATATAACAATTTTTCGATCTGTGGACCCTGGCATGACACATGCATTTCATGAAATTTTCTGTGACACAAAACTTGAACCGGCTCAGTTGGTCATGTGTATTGGATCTCGAGCTCAAAGTTATGGAGCTATTCCCTACTTATCAAAAACTGTGTATGAAACAGACAGTATCATGAAAAGACATGAAAAACACACCCTTAATGTAGATTCCTAACACAGGTCTTATTATAGATTGATTTTTATGTTTAAATCATATAGATCAGTATTAGCTGGTCATCATTAGCTGTTACCGTAAAAAACATTGCATCCACCACCACCACAACCATTAAATCATGTGGCCGACTTATTTATATACTGTACATTGTACCTGTAAATAGATTTGTGCCAATCAGTGAAGTTTCCTTTTTATTTTAGCTGTAGTGATACCCTTTTTAATATTTCTTTCTTAAAGTATGTATGATTGTATTGGGTTTTAGTTTTACTCAATCTGATTAAAATACAGATAAATATTTCGATCCAGTTTTTTTATACTTTCGATGGCCTACACTACATAAAGATCTGACAAGTTGTACTCGAAGGTTGTGTCAGGGGTCGTACAAGCGACTTTTGACCCTATGATGTCAGACATTGATTAATCAATCAGCATTGACGTTTCTAGTGGTTTACCCACAGTTCCGTGCATGGCATGCCAAGAAGTCGCCGTAACATTGACTTATCCCTCACTTCAACCAAAATGCCGGTAATATAACAATTCTTCCAGATCCTATTGTAGTAAAGACAAGTAAAACGAGATTTTGAACTATAAAAAAGAAACGAAATAGGATCTGTGTTTTAACTAGATTGGGTTTTACTTGCTTGTATTATTGATTCATTCATTTTTGGTTGAAATGTTTCCACTTGCTCAAAATGGTCCTTAATAAATTGTCAAAAAAAAAGTTGTACTTAATATGTAATGATGTTACCCTAAACTACCATATTTTAATCAGTTTGACATATATATTTGTATAAAGATTTGTTTGTAATAACATGTATATAAGAACTTACATATATATATTATTGTTTATTTGGTCATAAATAAATTTAAATTTTAAAATTATTTGTTTAACCAAAATCATCTCACCAAAGCTAATATTAAAAGTATATTATATACTCTTCAAAAAAAGTAGGGGATATTCAGAAACAATACAAAACTGCGGAAATGCACTGCTGTTTTTATTAGAGGTAACCAGTATATGTTAATAACAGGCCAATTGCCTACACATGAACATAAATAGTTCATATGGGCGTCTTATCTGACAGCCCAATTTCACTCGCAAAGAGATACACTGTCAAAAGTGAAAATGGACGATTTTGTTTTTTGTCTTAATAATGAGTAATTGCTCCACCTCAGACATTCCGCAATTTGTTGTGGCATGCTCTTAATCAACCGTCCAATCACGATTTGGGGCAATCTGACCCACTCCTCTTGTAGTCCTACGGCCAATTCTTGCAGTGTTGTCGGTTAACGTTAATGTTGACGAACACGTCTCCCGATCATGTCCCAGACATGCTCTATAGGGGAAAGGTCAGGACTCAAACTGGCTAAGGCATATGGACAATAATATGAAGACGCTGGAGGTAGTCATTCACGACACGAGCGTGGTGGGCATGCGCATTATCATCTTGAAAGAAGAAACGTCGACCTGCACGTTGAGAAAAGGGCAGAACTATCGGTGCCTGGATGTGGTCACAGTAGTACACACCAGTGATCCTTCCTTGAACAATATGCAAGTCCTTTCTGCCAGTCATGGTGATTCCTCCCCACACCATAACAGACCAACAGACCCATGCCCGAATCTGTCATGCTGCCTAACCTTAACGTTTGCATGACGCTCATTTACACGCCTCCAAACACGAGCACGCCTATTGATGAAATCCAGAGTAAATCTGGTCTCATCTGAGAACATTGCACGCGCCCATCAACGATTACCCCAATCTCTACGCTGCCTACCCTACACCATTGACACCAGTTTGCCATGTGCTAGCTAGTTAATGGAGGCACAACATGCGGTCGTCGCGCATGCAAATGGGCTGCATGTAGCTGATTTCTCATCGTTTGGGGTGTAACTTGAATTCATGTAACCTGGTATAAGTTTACAGAAAGCTGATTGGCTGTTTGTCCTCGATTTCGCAGGACATGTGTTCGGATGTATCAATCCTGGGCTTGTGTAGTGGCTCTAGGATGACCTGAACGAGGTCTATCCTCAGCATTGTGTGTTTGTTGGTACCAGTTCCACAGTCTGCTGCTTGCTTTGTAGAACCCATTTGAAGCATGCCAATAGCACGTAGACGTTCATCATGTTGAAGACGTCTCATTGCAAATTAAACGTAACACACTAAAGCAAAGATATGCTAAACAGTAAATCTTATGGAAGAACCGATAGGAAAGCAAAAATGGATAGGATAAACCAGCATGCGGCAGTTTTCATCAACCCTTCCTTGAAGTGTCAAATTTGACAGTGAACCCCTCCCACATGTATGGCGCTATTGCTGTCGCACATGCAGCTCAGTGGTTCTGTTGGGGCGATAAGTTCTTCATCTGTGAACATACTCTCAAAGCATGTCAAGTGTCCATGACTATTTATCATATCACAACCTGCATAGGTATTTGCATTTCTATATCCCCGACTTTTTTTGAAGAGTATATAACAAAACAGTTAATTTAATGTTTATGCAGATATATAACATCTATTATTGCCAAAATGAAGGTATTATCAAAGTGTATCTTTGCAGTCAAATTCCTTTATAAAAGAAGTTTCAAATTGATAAATTAAGTTTGATTGAATGATACTGAATAGAAATGGTTAAACAAGTTCATTCATATAGAAAAGTCACACAATTTGAAAGTGTATCAACATGTAAATGTCAGGATTTGAGTTTGTAATTGGTTTGTACAAAATTATAAAAATGTGTGAAAATGACTTTAACATTTATAGTTGTAAACAAGTTGTTATTATTTGACATTAACTGATGACATTACACAGATAATATTCAGGTTGAAAATAATTATATAAATATCTATATTAAATATCATTTTCATAAAACGTTATTTTTGAAGAAATTTGTATAAACTATCATAATATGTAATAAATATGAATATGGATTTAATAACTTTCTCATGACTCCAAATAGATCATTATTAGATGATAAAAAAAGTCATTAAACCACAAAACAGATGATATTTTTATCAGTATAATACACCACCCACACCAGTTATTATTTCTATAATGCCAGCCATTATTTTTTTGTGTGATATATATGTACTCCACCCTAGCAACATTGAATCTCACTGAAATACTACTACTGTATATAAATAACTGATCGGTTAAAAACTTGTTATGAAATGAGTGATGTTGTATGTATGTTTGAATATAATTGACTATAGCTACTACAATAAAAAAAAAATTCACAATAAATACAGAATTATGCATACATGGAAGTGTATGTATATGGTCTAATACACACATCTACATGTACCAGTCTGATGGTTTCACCACTTGAAAAAATATCTACCAGTTCTATGCAATTGATAAATCATGTAGGTGTGTTTACTGTTATATTATAGTTTTTATATCGATGCACAGATGTATTACATACACCTACAGTTGTATATCAATATGGATGATGGTAAATTGCAGGATTTCACAAATATTCTGGATATAACCCTATAAAAGCAAGATGATTTTACCCTCAGAATTGCTATTTACAACATCACCATGGTTAAGTGAGTATGATATAATTATGAAGACCTCACTTTAATATATAGATACCAATGGATTTACAACATAATCAACTTTATTTCGACATGTGAACACACTTATCTGAACTCTAAATATGAGGAATAACAAGATTTAATTAAATATAGAGGGATGGCCTGACTTTCATTTTACGTATAATTTCATGTTATAAGACTCCTAAACTATTTGTTTTTGAATATTTTTAATGTGATAAAATCCATCTTTTTAATCCACTGTGCCTTTTTTTATTTACATGCAATAAAAGTAAATGTTCTATTAGTACTGGGTACTGGTGGGGGGAGGGGGTGACTGAATGGTTAGCGTGTGCATGCTGTATCATAAAGTCTGTCATGGAGGCAACTGGCGTGGTTTTGATTCCCCGGTTATATGTGATAAGGAGTAGGGTTGCCTGTCCAACCTCATGGGTTTTCTCCGGGTCCTCCGGTTTCCTCCCACTGTTAAAGACCTCTATGCGCAAGCGAATTATTGAAATAAAATTAAACCATATGTTTGTCCCGAAATGACCTAGTTTGTGTCGAGCCCCATTTCTCTCTCTCTCTCTATTAGTACTGAGAAATAATTATGCATTTACCGGTAGTTGAAAAACATTTTATTTAGCTTTATTATTTGTTGAATATTACAAATTATCATTGTCCATGTTCATATTAGATTTCACATTGACATAAGACCAGCTAACTGAGACATATGTCACAGTTTATTTATTTCAAATACAGCCGAAAATGTAAAAAAAAAAAAAAAAAAAATATAATTCTCAGCATATTTGTGTTAGAGCTACAGATTGTCATTTGCATTTTTTGAAAAATCATATCAAAATGTCCAAAAATAGATTTTACCCAACCCTTATGGGTGGTTCTAGCTTGTTTATTTCATCTGCTTTGGATACCAAATATTGGAAATTATTCATATCTTTGTAAATACTGAACTGAATTGAAACATGTTTTGACTGATATTACTTTCAGAGATTCACAATATCGTAATTTGCATACAATTCAAATTCCCTTAAATGGCAATCCCTGACTGTAAGAAATGGTTTCAGCATGTTTTCAATGATCAAAGGCAAAAACATAATCAGTAATGCGCAAAATTTGTTGTTTTTTTATTGCTATGATCTGGAGCATTATTTTGGAAAATGAATGTTATGGTGTATGCCAACTTAAGATTTAAATATTACAGCCATTTTTTTAAAAAAAAAAAAAAGAAAGATAAATTCACCAGATTAAATTGTCTCCATTTATCTAGAGCCGGCCAAAATATTTGACTTTTTCATAATATTAGTGTTTTATCAGTTGGCGTATCACAGATTGAATGTGGATTAAAAGTAGATTTACACTTTTATACAGAAAATAAGGTATTCTATATATTGCTACAATTTGAAGATAACAGATTTCTACAGCCATGGGTATAATTCTTAAATATTTGCCCACCTTGTGGTGATGGTAAATTTAGACAAATTCTTTTTACATAATATTTGAGTTGGCCATTAAAATTAACCCTTCGATCCCAACATGACAGACGGTAAATTAGCATTTCTATCAGCTTTTATTTCACCAGTAATCTACGAAACTTCGAAAGTTTGGGGCGATTAAAGTCTAAGGTTTCTTAAATTTGTTTAGTTGATATTAAGATTGACAGTAGATTATATCTGTATTAAATGTCATGTATTTAAAAATGCATTATATAAGAGCATTTTATGCCTAATGCATATCTTTCGTTTAGCCAAAAATGTTATATAAATCATTAGTTAGACATTTATTCACATGCCAAGCCCATAATCAACACTTTAGACCATTGAATGCTTTTGATTTTAAATTGGATGAAACACAATTGCTAGTTAATGATTTCATGAAAAAAAATTGGATGGTCGAGACTTTGTTTATTATCGTAACAACAGTTGCAATGACAATGAGACTACAATGTTCTTCTAACAGCTATAATTCCGCTTAGAATGAAGTAATTTGAATGAAATTTTCAACATATTCCCCTTTCATTAACTATTATAGCGAGAACTGCCAGCTCTTTATCTAAATCTTAAATAATGCATCTTTATGGAAATGGCTTGTACATGTACCACAAGTTTATATAATATGGGATATAGGAAAAGTAGAAATATTTGGCAATTGCATTCAAAGGTTTATTTGATTATAAAAACTGTTTTCAAGAAGTGAATTTTACTAAGAACAATGTGTGTGGGTGGGTGGGTGTGTGTGGATGTAAAGATGGCTAATGTCAAATATTCATGTCAAATATTCATTTCAAATATTCATTTCAAATATATTATCTTGTCTTTTGCCACTGGTATCTAGTCTGGGTGCACTACATTAAATAGTTTGATCCCATCTATCCCATTGAAGCTTTCCAGAGACCAAACTCCTTTTAGACAATTTATGTGAATATTCACGAATCTGATCTGAAGTACATGTATTTCAGAAATCTTCCACCATGTAGGACTTTCAGATTCTAATGAACAATGTGGATAACATGGCCATCATTTATGTGTAGGATAGAGCACGAGGCTGAGGTTATGCTGGGGAAAGAAAGACTAAAGACAATAACCCGAGAAACAGAAAAACCGAGGCCAAGAGGCCTATGGTTTTCTGTTTTGGATTTTTTCTGAAGTCTTTCTTCCCCAGCATAACCGAAGTCAAGGACTTTATCTTCCTTATAAACAGTCTATGTTTACATGTCGGCAAAATGAGAATATCCCAACATTCCTGTAAGAAAAACCTTACATCATGTTTTCTTATGGAAAAAAAAACCTACCCTGGAAGTATAACCCGTTACAGGTATAAAGAAAAACTTTCAGAAGTATAACCCCAAATTCCCCTGTATATATACCAAGCCGCCCCGATTTTCAGAGCGCAAGTTATTCCGGGCATAGAATATAGCCCAAAGATCAAGAGATTTACCGTTATAGGTTTATAAAAACATATTTTAAGGTGACATTTACCCCAGATGTGAATAATTATACCTACTAGAAATTTGTGGGTTATTTTATAGCTGATGCCACAAGACAAAAAGCACTTACTAGACACTATATTGATTAATCATCACTGATTCTTTGTGTTATAATTTGGTTGTTCTCTTTTTTTATACATTTTGAAGATATGTTATTGTTTATGTACATCGTTTTCATGGATTAGACTATTATTGTTAATATCTCTACTGTAATTTATATATATATATATATATGTTGAAACCATTTTTACATGACATGTAAAACCATCCCTATACCTGCCCTTCTATATGTCCCTCATAAGATTTTCAGTAAAGCTCTCTATTTATTGTTCGGTTTTTGTTTTTAGCCCATTCATCCATAAACTTTTTCATAAACTGTTTTTGTTAAGATTATTATTCTTATTAGGGTTTCACACTGCGTAACTTGTGTGAAACACTATTGTTTTCGTTAAGATTATTATTCTTATTATTGTCCCTCGCCTTTCGGAGAAAGCAGGGGACTATTAAAATGTTAAGATTATTAGGGTTTCACACTGTGTAGCCAGTGTGAAACACTATTGTTTTTGTTCGGATTATTATTCTTCTTATTATTATTATTATTTTTCCATTTGAGCATATCTCAGAAACTACTTGTCGGATCGATTCGATGTCTTCGGTTTTACTGGGAAAGTGGGTTTGACTTAAATTTTAAAGCTATTTCCAAAGTTCTGCGACAATGCGAAATGTCCGAAATCACCGAAGTTGTCGTTTTTCGATATTTTGCTGTAATGTTATCAATAATTGTCGGATTCTAATATTTGATACATTTTGACATAGCCAGAGACAAGGCACATAGCTACAGTTCTTTGGATTTTTTATTTTCGACGAATCTTAGGAGATATTAGGCACTAAATTTTGAAAATATAAATTTTTACAAAAAACTTTTTTATTAATGAATATTTTTATGTGGTATTTTACTTAGGGTTAAATAGTCATCTGATTTGACCAAAAATGGCAACATTTTTTGCCACCGTATTTTTCCTTGACCCCCATTGGCTAATTCAGTATTTCAGTCCTGGATTAATTATTTATTGTTCGATTTGTATAAAACAAAGTTCATATGCTCAGTGGTCCAAAATGTCATATTTTTTTGTTACCGGTAAAATTGCCTTTAGCAAAAACTACAATTTTAAGAGTTCGGTACCACTTTTTGAAAGCAAATATTATTTTTTTCAAATCTGGTATGACTGAAAGGGTGTGCCCTGTAAAGGCGCAGAAAACATCGGACCCACTTTTTTTAATTTCGATTTCGTTTTCGGGTAATTTCGATTTAAAGGTGAAAAAGGGTGAAAAAATGAGCTATTTACAACCCATTCAGGCTTTTCATATTTTAAAATATTTTTTCGCAACTTTCATAAACTAGTAGCAATAATCCATACGAAGAGAATGTATGTGAAAATTAGTTTGTACTATAAGCAGTTGCCGAGAAATGGGCAATTTTGCATGAGTCCCTTTTTACGCTAGTTTGCCTGTAAAAGTGTCAATTATTATTCGATTTTCATAAAAGTGACACCATTTGATGTGTAATGTCAATTTTAACTAGGTCAAACCAATTTAACATTTTCAATGTCACCGGAAATGACGTAATTTGGGCAAAAAATGTATTTATAGCCTTCAACCAGTTTTTTATTCAAACGAGTCGTATTTGTTATTTGTTTAAAATTTTGATATTTGATTCCAATCAACCAATAGAATGAACCCATACGATCTTAAAGATATGACAAAATGGTTTCTAACTTTTTCAGTTGCGGAGAAATAGACGATTTTCAACAGGTAACTTTTCAAGGTTTTTGGTCCATAAAAGTGTCAATTATTATTCGATTTTCATAAAATTTCCAGTGTGTGATACCTAATGCCATTTACGATTTTATACAAGTAATTTAACACTTTTTCTGTCACCGGAAGTAACGTCATTTTGGCAAAAACTGTATTTTTAGCCTTCAAAACAGATATTTTATTCAAATGAGTCTGATTTGTATTTATAGCCTTCAACCAGTAATTTATTCAAACGAGTCGTATTTGTTATTTGTTTAAAATTTTGATATTTGATTCCAATCAACTAATAGAATGAACCCATACGATCTTAAAGATATGACAAAATGGTTTCTAACTTGTTCAGTTGCGGAGAAATAGACGATTTTCAACAGGTAACTTTTCAAGGTTTTTGGTCCATAAAAGTGTCAATTATTATTCGATTTTCATAAAATTTCCAGTGTGTGATACCTAATGCCATTTACGATTTTATACAAGTAATTTAACACTTTTTCTGTCACCGGAAGTAACGTCATTTTGGCAAAAACTGTATTTTTAGCCTTCAAAACAGATATTTTATTCAAATGAGTCTGATTTGTATTGTTTTTAAAATTATGATATTTGATTCCAATCAACAAATAGAATAAACCCACACGATCATACAGATACCAAAAAATGGTTTCTAACTTGTACGGTTGCAGAGAAATAGACGATTTTCTACAGGTCACTTTTCAAGGTTTTTGTTCTATGAAGGTGGCAATTATTATTCGATTTACATAAAAAAAATTCACCATGTGATGCCTTATGCCATTTATGATTTCATAAAACTAATTTAGAATTTTCATTATCACCGGAAGTAATGTAATTTTGTCAGGATCACTTACATGTAACAAATGTATACAATGAATTGATATTGCCGAATTTGGTTGATTCTGCGTACATTTTATTTGATGTGTGAAATGCTTACATGGAAACCTCTTTAATAGTTTCATCGGTACCGGAAGTGACATATGTTCACGGGTAACGGGGCACCGGTGAAACCCGTCATTACTGCGTCGCAGTTCTAGTTCTTATTATTATTATTTTTTTTTTTTTTCCACTTGAGCATATCTCAGAAACTATTTGTCGGATCAACTCGATGTCTTCGGTTTTACTGGGAAAGTTGGTGTGACTTAGAGATTAACTTTCTGTGACAATGCGAAATGTCCGAAATCACCGAAGTTGTCGTTTTTTTAAATATTGCCGTAATATTAACAATAATTGTTGGGTTTTAACATTTGATACATTTTGACATAGCCTGAGACACGGCAAATAGCTACGATTGTTTAGATTTTTGATTTTCGATTAATCTTCGAAGATATTAGGCGCCAAATTTTGAAAATTTAAATTTTGACAAAAAACTTTTTTATTTATGAATATAGGCGATTTACCTATAATTAAAGGGTCATGTGATTTGAGCAAAAATATGAAAAAATTTTGTATCGATAATTCACCTTGACCGCTATTGGCTAATTCAGTTTATGGGTTCTAGGTTAATTATTTATTGCTCGATTTGTATAAAACAAAGTTCATATGCTCAATGATGCAAAGTCTCAACTTTTTTATTACCGATAAAGCTTTCTGTCAGCAGCGGAAATGACGTAATTTTGACCAAAACTACAATTTTGGCGGTTAGGAACGTCTTTTCGAAAGCAAATATTATTTTTTTAAAATAAGTAAAAAGTAAGAAGTTGCGCCATGTAAAGGCGCAAAAAAAGTCGGAAGCAGTTTTTTTAATTTCGATTTCATTTTTGCGCCATTTCGATTTAAAGGTGAAAAACAGTGTAAAATTGAGCTATTTACAACCCATTCTGGCGTTACATATTTTAAAATATTTCTTTGTGACTTTCATAAACTTGTAGCATTAATTCATAAGAAGAGAATCTATCTCAAAATAAGTTTGTAATATGAGCAGTTGCCGAGAAATGGTCAATTTTGTAAGTGTCACTTTTTACGCTATTTTGCCTGTAAAAGAGTCAATTATTATTGGATTATCATAAAGGTGATACCATTTGATGCGTAATGTCAATTGTGAGTAGGTCAAACCAATTTAACATTTTCAATATCATCGGAAATGACGTAATTTGGGCATTTATAGCTTTCGAAACAAATAATTTATTCAGATGAGTCGTATTTGTTATTTGTTTAAAATTTGGATATTTGATTCCAATCAACTAATAGAATGGGATCATATAGATATCATAAAATGGTTTCTAACTTGTTCAGTTGTGGAGAAATAGGCGATTTTCAACAGGTCACTTTTCAAGGTTTTTGGTCCATAAAAGTGTCAATTATTATTCGATTTTCATAAATCTTTCACTGTGTGATACCTAATGCCATTTACGATTTCATACAAGTAATTTAAGATTTTCATCATCACCGGAAGTAACGTCATTTTGGTAAAAACTGTATTTTTAGCCTTCAAAACAGATATTTTATTCAAATGAGTCTGATTTGTACTGTTTTTAAAATTATGATATTTGATCCCAATCAACAAATAGATTAAACCCATACGATCATACAGATACCAGAAAATGGTTTCTAACTTGTACGGTTGCAGAGAAATAAACGGTTTTCTACAAGTCACTTTTCAAGGTTTTTGTTCTATAAAAGTGGCAATTGTTATTTGATTTACATAATATTTTCACCATGTGATGCCTTATGCCATTTCTGATTTCATAAAACTAATTGAACATTTTCATCATCACCGGAAGTACTGTACACTTACATGTAACAAATGTATAAAATGAATTGATATTGCTGGATTTGGTTGATTCGGCGTTCATTTTATTTGATGTGTGGAATGCTTATGTGAAAACTTGTTTAATGGTTTCATTGGTACCAGAAGTGACATATGTTTAGAGTAACGTGGCACCGGTGAAACCCATCATTACTGGTTCGCAGTTCTAGTGATGATTGTTTCTACCAAAAAAACAATCATCCAACACGTTGGCCGTTTTATTTTCCACTTGAGCATATCTCAGAAACTACTTGTCGAATTGATCCCATATCTTTGGTTTTACGGGAACGTCGGCATGACTTATAGATAAAATCTATTTCGAACATTCGGCGACAATGCGGAATGTCCGAAATCACCAAAGTATTGCCGTAATATTTACAATAATCGACGGATTTTAACATTTGGTACATACTGACATAGCCGGAGACAGGGCAAATAGCGACGGTACTTCAGATTTTTGATTTTCGATGAATCATCGCTTATATTAGGCGCGAAATTTTACACAGGATTAAAGGGTCATCTGACTTGAGCAAAAATGTGAACAATTTTTGTCTCAGTAAATTGTGTTAGCCGCCATTGACTAATTCAGTTTTTCGGTCCAAGATTAATTATTGATTGTTCGATTTGTATAAAACAAATTTCATATGCTCCGTTTTCTGAAATGTCATTTTTTTTGTTACCATTAAAGTTTCCTGTCGGCACCGGAAGTGACATAATTTTACCAAAAACTACAATTTTGACAGTTTGGTACCACTTTTTGAAAGCAAATATTAATTTTTTCAAATCTGGTATAACTGAAAGGGTGT